CAGAGAAGTGCTCTAACCAAAGGGAGCAAGTGGATATGTCTGCCAGGGCAGGGAGTGCTCTTCTCAGATGCCATGCAGGTAGGCTCTGCTTAGGAAGGTGTTTGCATCTGGCAGATCACTACAATGTGCCGTGGCTGGTAACCTAGGAAGTGAGCTCCCCAGGAAGGGGTTGAAAGTGTTGAGACCCACAAATAAGGCAGAATTTTGGCCATCGATCTTTCTGACTGTCCTTGAGAGCCCCCCATTGTTACAAGTATAGAAGAAATAAATGCATTCCTAGTCTAACCAAATGAGAAAAATCAAGGAAGAAATGGTTTGGTCCCCTCTCCACCTCTTTGTCCTTGGCCAAGGATCCTTAGAAGCAGTAGGTGAGAAGATGGAAGAGGCAGGCCCACAGTGATATTCATGCATTTCTCTACCTTTCCATCATGTGCACCCTGTTGTGGGTAGAGGTGGAAGAAAACATACAACCATAGGATCATGGGGCTCAGAACAGAAAGGGGTCTCAGGAGATGATCTACAGAGGCAGCATGGCCCAGTGAAGCAGATTGCCCCTGGGTTCAAATACTAGATGTACCCTTTATTAGCTGTGTGACATCAGGCAAGTCACATAACCTCTCTGTTCCTCAGTTTCCTCACCCGCTGCAAATGGAGGTGATATTACCTCCCTTTCATGGTTGCTGTGAGGATTAAGCAATATGCAAGTCTGAAGGTATTCTTACTGTCAGAGAAGGCGGTCTTAGGGCTGTGGGCTGTAACGAGTCACTTCTCATCTGCAAGTATGTGCCACTCCTCTGTCTATATAAAAAAGAGGTCTAAGAGAAGCCACAGTATTTAAGTTTCACAAACAGCTTTCTTGAATTGGAATTAGAGGTAAGTTAGTCTGTGACAGTGATTCCCTCAACCAGAAGGGAGGCGTAGCCTCCTCATTCAGCCAGTGGACCTTTCCTTCAAGTAGACTTCATTCACCTTCCTGGTCCCCTTTGCCTTCTCCTTGTCCTCTATTACACTTTCTCTTCTCAGCATTTGGCTACCAGAAATCACTAGAATAATCCAAAGCCATTCCATTCTCCCTCGTCCCAAACACCTGGCTTAGGGCTGCCTCAGTTTGGGGCCCCGGAAGCCCATCATGGGAAAACACAAGGTCTGGATGGCTCCCTGGCCTGGCCACCTCTAACAAGCGGGTTACAACAGATGGATTCCTCTCTGTGGCTGATTATTTTCCATGGCCCTTGGCCATGTGACCTCAGACCATGATCTTGTCAGTTCTCATAAACTAACGAGGAGTGGCTGAGTCCCACGCAGAGAGGAAATCTCTGGGGAAAATGGCAAGGGCTGTGGGAGGAAGGAGAGCAGGCTAGGACCCCAAAAGCCATGGGGGCCTCACCCCGCTGTTCCCCCACCTCTGAGCAGCTTTGACCTTACATGAAGGGAAGGAGGAGGCGGCACTAGCCTCGGGGTTCTGCTGGGCTATAGGCGGGCTACTTTTTTGAATAAGACCTGGGGTCTCAGTCCAAAAGGACAATTGGCCCCAAGACCTCCAACCCACAGACACTGCCTGCCAAGGCCACTCTTTGAATCTGTGGTTATTGACACCCAATTCCTATACTTAGGAGCCCCAATGCATCATAATAAGATAGAGAACAGCTGACATGTGCCCACATCTACTGCTAGCTCTGGGTGTCCTGTGGGAGGTCAAGTGAGGTTCACTGAAGTGAATGTTGGAAGAAGCCACTCCAGGCCCTTGATCCCATGTTGACAGTGAAGATGTGCTGGGGATGCTGTATGAAGTGTTCCCGTTATGCCAAACACATAGATCAAAACTGAAAATGAGGTGCCAACAAAATCTCCATGCTCTCCAATATCCTGAAATTGGGTGTTGTGTAAACAAAACCCTGAACTTCTCTGCCGTGTGTGTGTGTGTGTGTGTGTGTGTGTGTGTGTTTACTTTAAATCATCTTTAGATTTCCAAGTTGTGTGTCTCTGTAGCTTTTGGGTCACAAGTTACCTTAAATTCTCTGACAAGTTAATGCATTGTTAGAGAGATTATTTCTGAGTAAGATATGCACGTGTAAACAAATCCCTTAACTATGTATATGTTTTAATTACATTCCAGGCATTCACTTGATGAAATCCTGAGAAGAGTATACGTCTCTGTATCCATGAATACAGCACATATATTTTTGCATACACAAAGACACAGGGCAAAAAGCACGCTATTTTAAGAGTCTGAGCTCTATCTTTCAACAAAGTTTAGCTGCTTTCCTTTTGCAAATGCATTTAATTTTATCTGGAAACTTTCTGACGTTAGAAATAGAACAACTGTAGTTTCTCATTATGTTTGCTGCCAGAGTCCATGCTTGGTTGCTCAACTAAAGACCTTATATTGCTAATTACTACCACATGCCCATATCCCAAGCGAAAGAAAACTTATTGATTCTGACAGCCCATTCTCTCAACGCTGAATTCCAAATGAAAACTCAAATTTTGGCCAAACATAACATTTCATCAATCTTGTTCTACTGACTGGAAAAACAACATCAAACAAAGGGTGCTAATGGCCCTTTATTACTGTTCCTTTCCCAAGCTTATATTTTCTGATGAAAGATCTAAGTGACCAAAGGGCTTCTTTAAACTACTTAGTAATTAGCTTTTGAACCAGGAAACAATGCATAAGGTAAAGTGAACCGTCCCAGTGTTGATGACAGGGCCGACTCTCTGTCCTCAGGGTCGGGGGACATTGGAGACCCAAAGAGAACATTAAAAGCAAAGTGTGTATTTTCATAAAGGGAGAAGAAAAAAAAAGAGATGTAGGAAAAACCAGGCTAAAAGCCTGTGATAAAAGATGACAGAGAGGGAGTCAGAACAAAAGCTGTGGGGAGTCTGTGATCTGAAGTGATTAGCACTCGAGGGTTTGAGTGGAGATGCCAAGGCAAGAAGATGATGGGATCAGAACAGGGGCGGGTGAGTGACTGCTGGTCTCAAGCCCCATCTGGGTCACCTACCACCAAAAGCCACCAGCCACCCGGCCCACCCACACTGGACTAGGGAAACTATTTAGAGAAAAAAATTTTACCTGGAGTGAGAGTCAAGAAGTATTTTCAACATAGACCTGGGGGCAACTGACTTACTGGCTTCGTTGGGAGGAGGGACCAGGAAATGCTGGCCGAGGGAGTGGGGCGGGAGGAACAAAGAGAGCCCATGCCCTCAGAATGCCTTCTGCTTTATGGCGACCTGTTCACACCTCAAAGGCAAAATGGACACAGGAGCTGTTTTCCTCCTGGCAATGGAATAAATGACCAATGGGAATCTCTGGACTTATCTGGCCTTTTGGATCCAACCAATGGCCCAGAAATCAGAACAGCTTGGTTCTAATCTCATCCAGAGCTGTTAAGATAATAGGGAGAGGAGGGCTCCATTAGAGGAAAGGTGGAAGAGCATGCTGCCTGTGTAGAAGAGACGCCAATTGGCCCCCTCTCGCCCACTGTCCTTTGTTCCTTTGAAAGGAAACTGGTGTCCTGTGGGTAGTTCAAGAAAATGAGTCTTTTTATTTTCCACCTCTTCATTTCCTGAAAGAAGGACAGGACACCTGAGCTCAGGATGCACCGGAATCACCGACAGGAGATGAGGTTTGCTCCATCCAACATGACTGTCAGGCCAAGAGGAGATGGGAGTAGGGGGTGGGAAAGGGCAGTGCTATAGTTTTATTTTCTCTTAAGCAAAACAGGCTATTCAAGAGTTCATCTGAAAACGTACTGGGGGAGGGGGAGTTCTGTGATAGGAGCTTCTATGACTATGACTGGGAAGGGGCCCGAGTGATGAAAACATGCTCATCTTCATCTGGATGGTAATTACCGGGTGTGTACATAGGTACAAATCCCTTGAGCTGTACTTTAAGGTTATATACCTCTTACTCTACGGAAGTTGAAACAAAAAGTCAGAAACAAAAACAAGGCTGAGTGCCCATGAAAAAGCCGAGTAAAGAATGGTCACCACCGGCCCTGCCTCCCCTGTGGCATTCCCCTCCCAAGATAGTGCTCTGGCATATGGCGGGGATGGTGAGGCCCTGCCGTGTACTTAGGAGTCAGACTTCAGGTTGATAATGAACCCACACGCTGGTATTGATATTGATAAAATGATCCAAACTCAAATTGAAATAGTCCCCAAGAAGAAAGCATCGATGTGTGGGAAGCCAAACAAAAGACCATCAGGAAGAGCCTGTGGTGCTCCAGCACCATAAATATAATCTGTCTTGCCCAGAAGGAATTTCAGCTGAGTAATGAGTCCCTTTGAGGACAAGTTCGGTGCCGCCTGGCTAAAGAGAAGTGGTTTCCCGGCTGCCACGATGCCTTTACAGTAGGCAAGGTGAGCTTTTTCTTGCCCTCCCTAAGACTTCCCTGCTGGAGAAAGATCCCATGGTATTGCTGCATGAAATAAAACCCATAGGATGGCATCACATTAGTCTGGGACACCAGAATGTAATCACTAAGCCAGTTGATATAAAGAATGAACGTGCCTGGTTTACTTGGTAGGGATTGGAACAGAAAAGACAGGCCCAGTTATCTCTGGACCTGTCCCAGGATAAACGCAGTAGGTCTCTCGGAAAGATGGGTGGGGAAGGAAGCCACGAATGGGCGGGCACCGGTCTGGATACTCAGTCCACAGGTGACATCACACCCCACACAGAATGGGGCCCTTCCCTCACAGAAGCACCTGGGTGGGCAGGGGGAGGGGCGGGATTCAGGTGTCACCGCCAACAAGGCTCTTGAAAGCCACTCAACCACATCTTCTCTGATGCAACTGACTTACTTTCTGCCTCCATGTTTGTTAAAAGTCCCGCCGAATTTATTCCGATTCAGGATGAGGGCAGCAATTTCGGGCACGTAGCGGGCAAACATTGCCTACATGCATGAAACAAAGAAACAAGAGCCAAAAAAAAAAATGGCATGCAGAGAGGATTCTACCGCAGCGGAGGCAGCAAAACCTCTTGGCATACTTACTTTCTTCCACTAACCGCACTATAGGAGCCCCCGTATTTCTTGCGGTTTCCTATTAATTCTATGATTTCAGGGACGTAGCTGGCAAACATGGCCTAAGGAGAAGACAGGAGACAGAAGAGAGACTGAAAAGACAGGCCAAAGAAAGGGGTGACCTTTTCAGAGGGGGAGGGGATGCTAAGATCCGAAAACACAAAGGGGTTAGAACTGCGAAGGTATATACCATTGTGGTGGGTTGTAAAATTAAAGGCACAAAAAGGACAAGCTCCTGAAAATACACAGGACAAAACAAACGTGAACCAACCTATAAAACCAAAAAAAAAAAAAAAAAAAATTACAGTCAAAAAAAATACAAAAGAGACAGGAATAAATAAGTTGCTATCTAGTTCTTCTTGCTATAGGAAAGTCAGTAAAGGGGGTGCATGCTGGTGAAATCACACACACACAACTGCAAAAGAAGACCTTTCTAGTTAAAATTCACAGGAGAATCAATGCCTTTATGAGCGATGAAAGACAATAAACATCAAAAGAAGATTAAAATAACACAAACTTATCCAGTAATAAAAAAAATCACTAAAAAGCACAAAAGGTAAATTTAGGAAATCATGTGGGGAGAGAAGAAGAAAGGAGAAACACAAATCTGCCATGTTTTGCCCAACAAACATTGTGCTTGTGGCTGGATAAGTGGGTCTCATTTTCTACAGGGACTTCCCTGACGCTGAGGAAATGCCTGTGTTAGCTTACACACGCACATGTACATTTAATATACATTTTTCAAATGTATATATGCCGTATGCATACAGAACAGAGAGATGTATATGCATAATATAAATGTATGTGCAGTGGAGACATATGAAAGCAGTGTGTGTGAAGTAGGATTCTAGTCACTTACCGCATACAGTGCAAACATCTAAACTTAACATGAGTTACTTTGAAAGACAAAATGCAGCAACCACCAATATGCTGCCAGAAATTCCCCCTTTCAAAAATTACAGACCATTATGATCTGCAAAGAGCAGAAAATCAAATAGCAAAACTTTCTGACTTACAAAGGCGGGCGGGGAGCATGTCCCATGTGTTGCTGAGTAATGGAAGTGGTTGGCTCTTTATAAAACTACCCTCGGCTCATGTCATGATGTCCACCTACAGGAGATCAGTAGGCTTTCTGTCCTCTGTGGGGACCCTACTCTCTGGGGGCAGGCCCCAGCCACAGTGTTTGTTGGAAGTTATGGAAGGATCATGAAGGGTGTGGGGGAGCTCTTGAAACCGCAAACTGTCTACAGTATCCACAGCATCGACTGGGTCGGGTGACAGCAACTGTCCTTGCAGAGAGTATCAGCTACTGAATCACATTACTAAGGAACAGACACTCTCACGTAATAAGTGAGCATCACTTTCTTAAGACAGTTAGGTTTCCTCCTGGTGGATAGGCTGACCCCGACAAGGGCAGTGTGCCTGGGTCTCTGGGGAATAAGTCTAAGGTACCAAGGAAATATGCAGAGAAGTCATCGTTGCGTTTGGATTTACTCGGTTTGATTATAACACTAAGGCAATCGCTTGCGATGCAGAAACAGTCAAAATACAAAGCTTTAAAGAAACAGATAATAGAAAATATTAATGACCATAAAAATCAACATTATAATAAAGAGTTTTTACCAGTCCCCCGAGGATGAAGAAGACCATGAAGAGGCGCCCAAGCGTGGTTTTTGCGTAAACATCCCCATAGCCAACAGTGGACATTGTGACCATGAGTAAATAGACGCACTCCCAGTACGTAAGAGCCTGGTTGTTTTGGAAATTTTCCCAGGGGTCCCCTGAATTCTCCACCTAAAGCAAGGGGACAGGACAGAAAAAGGATGACATTACACACATATGGTAAACCGGGAACACAAAAACTCCAGAGGGCTGCTTCCGGATGCCTGGCCACCTCAACACAAGGTGTCTGCTGCGGGGAGAAGTTCTGTAGTGATGACTCCGAACCCCCACCCCCGGGCAGGTAACAGGAAGTGGAGTGGCTATAACAGAAATGTGCCTTCCTAGCTGATTGGGGCAGAGAGCAGAAAGAACAGAGATAAATATCCCTAGTCAGGTTTTTCTTCTCATTGTTAAAGATTTGAAGCCAGCTGGATTTTAAGGCATTGCCCGTGGCCATGTTTTACAGCCTTCTCTTCAAGGGAAGAGCCGGAGAGCCCTGCCCTGACCTTTCTCTGTGAGTTCCTGCTCAGTCTCAGAGGGCCTGGCTCATGCACTCCCTAAGAAATTCTAGACTCTCCCACACAGGGCCTTGTCCTTTCATCATTCTGACCAAGGCGATTGCCCAGTGGGCCCCCCTCATCCAGATCTTACACCCGGACCCCAAACGGTATCTCTGGGTCTGACTCTGCTCTCCTGACTGCACAGCGTCAGAGATGGCTCTACCCTGCAAGCAGCAGGAATTTCCCTGAGAGCACAAAAATCGAGCTCATGAGAACAATTTGCTTTTGTGCAGCTCCTCAGACCAAGGGTCAGCAAGCTTTTTCTGTAAAGGAAACGATAGTAAGTATTTTCAGCTTTGGGCAACATCCAGTTTGTGATCTCTGGAGCAAGAACTCAACTCTGCAGAAGGTGAATCAGCCAGAGACACTACTTAAACTAAAGGGGTGTGGATGAATTGGGAGCCCTTTGGCCCCAGGGGTGCAGAATGCCCATCTCTGCTTCAGACTTTACAAAACACTTCCCATCGAATTCTATCCACCACCCAAGCTGTGAGATAGGCAGGAGAGATAACTTTAGATCCACACTGTCGGGAGAGAGGGAGATGTGTGGGCTGGACCTCCAGGCTTACCCCAGATCCCAACCCTTCAATATACCATGCCACGGTTCCAACCAGCATGGCCCCTGTGGGAGGCCAGCCTCCAGGCCTCCGACCCCCAGACCTCCTGCTCTTCTTCTTCAAAAAACTTCCAGAACCTAGCCTCTTTCACACATGACTTCTTGACCCCTACGTGCCATTTTCATGGAGGTTTCCTGGTGGAGCAGAAGCTCCTTCACAAGACAGTAGGTGGGCTCACTGGTCTACTGAAGACCACATTTGTGATTGGGGTGGTTATCCACTGAGAGTGGTTTCAGCCAAGAATTCCATCAGCACAAAGGAGACAAAGGGGTGGGTAAAAAAGCCATCAGATCTAGTAGCTGAGTGAGAGCCCCATCTTCCATGCCAGGCCAGCTTCCTCTGCGTGGTAATTACATAAACCCCGATGGTGTTAGGAAACTAAATGCACCCTGCCACCCCTTAATGCAGATAAAGGCTTTCCTCAGCAAGGGAAAGAAAGGTACTTTTACTCAAATCTTCAGAAATAGATGAGGCTTCTTCTGGCTTTAACAGTTTGTGTTTGTATGAAACATGCTTTCAACAAAAGCTGTGTCCCCTAAAAGCAGGAATAAAAGTCAGCCTCGAGGAGGTGAGAATAGCTTGACTTAATAATGTAAGCCTTTCAAAGAGCCATTAATTTAAAAGAATTAACATTTTTGAGATACAAAATAACTTGACAAGCAATCAGGCAAAAGCATAGAAGGTAGTTTTTGTAAGGGGGAAGTGGAGAGAAATTAAGGGATCTGAATTTGTTGTTCATTAAGCGATGTGGGTCAAACTTTCAACCTTGTCGCCAAGGTATTTTCAAGTGTTGGCTGAGGAAGCACTGCCATCTTGTGGCGCTCTGGGGTTACTGCAGACAGAATGAAAAATCCACCAAACCAGCGAGCCGAAAAATGCGGGTTAATGGAGCTCACATCATTCACCATTTGGAATTAGTTTGGGGTAAAAGGGTTGGAAACCCAGACAATTGTGCAATTGCCTCTCCTTCTCTTACATTCTGCAGCTAGGCTGAAGTTTCTCTTCCGGGAGAAAAATTTCAGGTAATAAAATGACGCAGGGAGGGACTTGTTGCAGAAAAGCCAGAGCTGAAGCATCTTCAAAGATACTTACCAAATGGATTAACCCAGCTGCTGTTAGCCATGTGCTGATAAATATGGAGAGCAGATTCACCAGCTTGATGGAATTACTGTGCAAAAGAGACAATAAGCAAAATCCCCAAATTACAAAAGAAGACCATGCGGAGGCTGCCTTCCAGAGTAACAGCAATCTTTAGGGGACAGGCAGCCCACCTTCACTCCCCAGTGGTTCCTCCATCATAAAGAAATGTTCCAGAAGACACCATCGGTAGCTAGATAGGGCCAGAGCCTACAGAAAAATGACATCGGGGCCACTAAAAGGGGATCTCTAAATTAACCGCTCTGTTGGGTTTAATTTTTTTAACTAAATTTTATTTTGAAAACTTTTATATCTACAGAAATATGGAAAGAAAAATATAATAAACACTTATATACCTTTCATCTATATTGATCAATTAACATTTTTGTACATTTGCTCTGTCTGTATTCTCCTTTTCTTTTTCAAAAAACAATTTTTTTTGAAACTTTTTCAAAATTTTGGCTGAACCATTTACAAAATACATTGTAGACATTGTGACACGACTTCTTAAATACTTTAGCATTTAACACTTAAGACAGAATGTATGAAGGACACCTGGGTGGCTCAGTCCATTAAGCATCCGACGTTGATCTTAGCTCAAGTCATGAGCTCACCATCTGTGATTTTAAGCCCCGTGGCAGCCCCATGTGCTAGCAGCACAGCCCCTGGGTGGGATTCTCTCTCTCCCTCCCACCTTCTCTCAAAATAAATAAATAAACTTAAAAAAAAATAAAGAAGGGCACCGGGGTGGCTCAGTCAGTTAAGCATCTGACCTCAGCCCAGGCCATGGTCTCAGTGTTTGTGGGTCCAAGCCTTACATTGGGCTCTGTGCTGACAGTGCAGATCCTGCCTGGAATTCTCTCTCCTTCTCTCCCTCTGCTCCTCCCTCACTTGCTCTCTCTCTCTCAAAATAAGTAAATATTTAAAAAATAAATTAAAATGAAAATGAGAAAACATAAGGAAACCATGCAACACAACCAGGCTACAGTTGTCATGCCTAAGATCATCCACATGAATCCAGGAGTGTCATCTAAAATGCACTCTTTATTTGAAGTTCTCCAGTTGCCCTGAAATTGTTTATTGATGCTTTCATTTTTTTCACCCTGATGCAGGAACTAACTGAGATTCAGGGACTGTATTTGGTTATTATGTTGCTTTCTTTATTCCAGGGGTCAGGAAACGTTTTCTATAATTATAGGGACAGGTGGTAGATATTTTAGGCTTTGTGGGTCACAGCATCTCTGTGGCAACTCTTCTACTCTGCTGCTACTGCATAAAAGTAAGAGAGTGAATGTGTCTGTGTTCCAAAAAACTTTATTTGCAAAAACAGGAAGTGGGCTGGATTCGCCCTTGGACTGTATAGTTTGCCAATCTCTGCTTTTTTCCCCTTTAATGTACATCCCCCTGACTCTTTTTGTTTGTTTTCAAAGACATTTAAATTTCTTTGCACTCAGGTCAGCTGCCTTATAGAATGTCCCATATTCTGATTCTGTTTATATGCTTCTGGATAGAATATCTGCCTGAGATGGCATCACATCAGAAAATCAACTCGTTTACACCAGGCCCAGTCACCTGGTTAAGGTGGGAACATCAAATCTTGCCACCAGAAGGAGCCCACTTCCTTGTAATTAATATGTCATCCATGCAGCGAGAATCTGAGATTCTGTGAACATCTCATTCCCTGAAAACCTCATGCCAAATAATTTTAGCATCCATTAGTGTTCCTTGAGTGGATCAGTTAGGACTCACTAAATTGTAAGCATCCTGAAGGCAGAGGCCTTCTCTGTCTGGATCTTGGGAACAGTGATTCCCTGGCACATAATAGGGCCTCTCTGCATAAGTACTGAATGAACTGGTCCCTTCCTTTGCACTCTCCACACTTAGCTTCACCAGGTTCATTGCCACTGGAGTACAGCTCCTTGAATGTTGTCATGAGCAGGTCACTTCTCTGTCCAAAGGCTCCTTGTTGACTAAACATTATTATGTCCACACTCCTTTTACCCTCAACACTGGCTAAAGGTTCAGGCTCATCACCACCCTTTTCTACATAAGCTCTTGAAATTTCCATAACAGCCAACCCTGTGTACTATGTCTTTGTTTATGCTACTACTATGGATGGTCCTTCCCATCAAAGCAAATATTTCCCTTTCTTCAGAGCCTGGTTCAATCCCTATGTCCTCTTTAATGTGGTCCCCCTACCTGCAATACAAGCGCAGGTGACTCCTCATGGCTCTTACTTTCAACCACTCCTTGGTAACTGATCCCAGGGTCTTAAGACATCTTCTGTAATGTTCTTTGGATTGCTTTTGTCTCTTATGCTCCTAACTGCATCTTGCAGAAACAAACTCTGTTTTCTGCCTCTTTCAGTCTCCCTGTAGTAGCCAAACACCACCCACATGGTGGTTCAGCCCATCATTCTTGACCGATTGTTCTCTCTGCCCTCTCTCATCTCTTTCCCATGGGGAACCAATGATGTAAATCCTGAGAGTTTAAGATCACAGTTAACAGTAATGGCTTACATTGCTATGTTTTCTTTATGGTGCTCACCATTAGCTCACTGTTCTAAGTGCTTCAAGTGTATTAACTCATCTCCTCTTCACAATGACTCTGTGGAGTCATCCAAACCCAAGCTCACATGGTGAGCAGCAGAGTTGGGATTTAAGCTGGGGCAGCTTGGCCACTGAGTCTGCCCTCTTGGCTGCTACACAGTCACAGACTGGTATCCATCAGAGAGTCTTCCTTGATTGTTAAAGCAAAGCTGTGTCTCCCCCCATGCTCAATGCATAGGGTATGAGAAGGTCAGAGATAGACGCTCCATGGAGGAGACACACTATCCAGACATATTGGTTAACCTCTTGAACTGCCACAAAAAAAAAGAATGGAAAGGAAAAAATTCTGATAACTACATCTACACTGGGGTCACCATGGGGCAGGATGGGGCTGCAGTCCAAGGTAGCTCAGGGGTTGAAGGAGAAGCCCCTCAATGGAGGTCGGATCAGTGGTTCTAGATAGGCACCAGACCAGGGTCCAGTTTGCATTTTTCTTCAACCTTATTTTCTTTTAGTAACGGAGCAGAGGAACCCGTGATCTTAGTTGTCTAGAGTTGGTTCTGATAGTTCAAGGAAAGAATAACCAAATATTTTTAATTTTGTTTGATACTTATCTTTTGAAATGTGTGAAACAATTCCTTTCTGGTTCAAAAACAGAAAGACAGGGGAGTCCCCCAGGCTGGGCACAGCAGCCAGAGTGGCGGATGGCAGCGGCAAGGGGCTGCCATTCCACCAGGGCATCCGTCTGCTGGACAGTGGCTCGGTGGAGAACATGCTGCAAGTCTGGCTATCTCAAAAGACAAGCCAAAGTACACATGGTGGAGAGTCCCAAATACCATTATGAGTAGGAAAATAAAATAACCAAAGTCTCAATAAGAGAGAGCAAGAGATACCATTCAAAGAACACTTCCTGAATGGACAGGCCCTGGACAGTCAATGAGCCTTCTTTAATATAGCAGTACTCGCAGGTGCAGAGCACATAACAAGCTTTTAAACCTAACAAGAGACAGAAAGCTAGCCAAAATGATGAAATTAAAAAAACTCTCCTTTAAAGAAATTCCAGGAAGAAATGACAGCTAAAGAACTGCTTAAAACAGGTATAAGCAACATAACTGAACAAGAATTTAGAACAATAGTCATAAAATTAATCACCGGGCTTGAAAAAGGCATGGAAGACATCAGAGAAGCTTTTGCTACAAAGACTATGGAGCTTAAAAATAGTTGTGATGAATTGGGAAATGCTATATATAAGGTACATAATAAAATGGAGGCGCCCAATGCACAGATTGAAGAGGCAGAGAGGAGATTAGGTGAATTAGAAGACACAATTATAGAAAAAGAGGAAACTGAGAAAAAGATAAACTGAGCCAGGAGCATGAAAGGAGAGTTCAAGAACTGAGTGATAAAATCAAACAGAACAATATCTGTATCATAGGAATTCCAGAAGAGGAAGAGAGAGGGAAAGGCGCTGAAGGAGTCCTTGAACAAATTATAGCCGAGAACTTCCCCAATCTGGAGAAGGAAACAGACATTGAAATCCAAGAGGCACAGAGAACTCCCCTCAGACATAACTTGAATCGATCATCTGCACGACATATCATAGTGAAACTGGCAAAATATAAGGACAAAGAGAGAATTTTGAAAGCAGCTAGGGATAAAAGGGCCCTAACATACAAAGGGAAACCTATCAGAGCAGTTACAGGCTTATCTACTGAAATTTGGCAGGGCCTTAAAGTAATGGCAGGAAATCTTCAATGTAATGAACAGAAAAAATATGCAGCCAAGAATCTATCTAGCAAGCCTGTCATTCAGAATGGAAGGAGAGATAAAAGTCTTCCCAAATAAAGAAAAACGGAAAGAACTCATCACCACTAAACCAGCCCTACAAGAAATCCTAAGGGGGACTCTACGAGGGAAATGTTCCAATGAACGCAAGGTACCAGAGACACCACTACAAGTATGAATCCCACAAAGAACACAATGACTCTAAACCCATATTTTTCAATAATAACACTGAATGTAAATGGACTAAATGCTCCAATAAAAAGACATAGGGTAGCAGAATGGAGAAAAAAACAAAATCCATCTATATGCTGTCTGCAAGAGACTCATTTTAGACCTGAAGACACCTTAAGATTGAAAGGGGATGGAGAAATATCTATCATGCTACTGGAAGTCAGAAGAAAACTGGAGTAGCCATACTTACATCAGACAAACTGGACTTTAAAGTAAAGGCAGTAACAAGGGATGAAGAAGGGCATTACATAATAACTACAGGTTCTATCCATCAGGGAAAGCTAACAATTATAAATGTCTATGCACAAAATATGGAAGCACCCAAATACATAAAACAATTAATCACAAACAGAAACAATCTTATGTATAAGAATGTGCTAATAAATAGTGAACTTTAATACTCCACTTACAGCAATGGATAGATGAATTAGACAGAAAATCACTGAAGAAACAATGGACTTGAATG